CAATTCAATTACCTGTCAAATCTGGACAGGATGGCCTTTCAGGCCTTTTTTATTGTCATTATAGTATTACGGGGAACCCCGTAGCAGCCACATCCGTGCTCAAGCCTCCAACGAGGGAACATGCGGGAGCTGCACCCACCAGCAGGTGCGATACCTGCTACAGCAGGTGGCGATACCAGCCAGGGGCATTTTTTTGTGGGGTAGGCCTTGAACAACCGAAAAAAAAAATAAAAAAATCCGGACCTACCGGACCGTAGGCGCCCGGACATCCAGACGCGGACAGTCTGGACTGGGCTCCGGACATCCGCATCGTAACCATGGTCTGGATACTTGCTGGAGGGTGCCGGGTTCATGACTCCACAGGCACAGTCAACGCTCACCCTGCATTACATCAACAGGTAAGTACACAGGTACGTCACGTCAAGGTTCCGGGTTCGAACTCCAACAGGAACACTCAGGCATACAATACACAGAACAACAGTCAACAACAGGTCCCGGGATCGAATCTCGGTAGACAAGGAAGGTGAAATCCCTTCACCAGTTCCTCAAGACTTATTGCCATTCTTGTTAGGGGTTTGGACCAACAGTCCGCTAGGATAGCAGGGTTGGTGCGAGTAAAGCCGACCACTTTGCTCTCTTCGGGGTATCACTAACACTGGGGGACGTGTGAGTCCTTATCCATCAGTCAAATGCATCCTGGGGAGGCTGTCGGGGGGTTAACCTCCTGATGAGTCGGTGAAAGTCCAACAGATCAGTCCGGCACAGTCACGTTTTTTTTTTGTGGAGTTGTGTATAACCAACATGGCAAATCACACACAGAGGAAGGTACAAAAAAAAAGTGCAAGTACATGTAATGCGCACAGGCATACGGTCACTTTCTGCTCAACCACAGATGTGAGGAGCCTCACACTTGGGTGTGAATTTGAACTCACTTGCAAAAACAATTGCAAACAAACATGGAAATATTCCAGCCTCACACTTCAGTAATTTACTAATTGCCAACATTATGGTTGGAAACAGCGACATTGCGGTGAATGATTGACAACACGCACTCCTTTCTTCTCTTTTCGTCCCCATAAAAGGAAAAGAAACAGCCAAGACAGAACGAGCTTCGCATCACAGATGCAGTTTTCCATCTTTGAATTCTTTTCCAGGCAATCCCATGGGCCGACAATGGTAGCATTTTAGACAGGTGTCTAAGTTGTACATATTTATTGGCTTGTAGAATGCAAGCGGGGTGAAGGGAGAAGGAAATGGTGGGAGTAACTAGAAAAACAAGAAAGCATACACAAGCCAAAAAAGCATGAAAGAGTAGAAAAGGAAGGACATACGCTCTGTGTTCTTGAATGCGAGTTATGAGCTCACTCTTCCTTCCAGATACGCCCAGACCATACTTCCTAAGGTAAACCTTGCAGTAATTGCAGTTCAGCTTGTCATATTGACCATCTGCATCAATGAGCCCGGGCGATAGGCAGCAAGCACAAACCACTAGATGTGTGTCCAATCAACTCAGCTCACATAACAACAAACTTGGAATAGAAATCTTTCTCTCTCTCTCTCTCTCTCTCTCTCTCTCTCTCTCTCTCTCTCTCTCTCTC